TTCTAGTTATTTCTTAAAGGTCTAACTTAGTAAAAGTATGTTTGATTCAAATTCCAATGAGAGTAATAGTAAAATCATAACCAAGTTAACTTCTTCTGGATACATATGATAAAGAATATGATTATTTTTTAAATATATATTTTGTTGATTTTTTACAGACAGGAAGAGAGAGGGATAGAGAGTTAGAAACATCAATGAGAGAGAATCATCGATCAGCTGCATCTTGCATACCCCCTACTGGGGATGTGCCCGCAACCAAGGTACATGCCCTTGATCGGAATTGAACCCAGGACCCTTCAGTCCACAGCCGACGCTCTATCCATTGAGCCAAACCGGTTTCGGCAAGAGTATAATTATTTTTAAAACCTAAAACTTGCAAAGTAATATTTGCCTATAATATCATCTAGAAAGAAAGTGAGTCAAGTAGGCATATAAAGGTCAGAGATGAAAATCCCATATTGGAAAAAATAATAATAAAAGCTTTGTAATTATGCCATCTAATATGGAAACTCACTGTCATAGTTTTTAAGCTTTTTGGTCATAAACTCCTTTCAGTGTTTGATGAGAGGTACATTCTGCTCCCAAGAAAAATGTGCATGCACTTAGAATTGTGTATGTGATTTAACTGGGTCTCGGGAGGCCACCCAGGTGCACAGACCTCTAAATCAACAATCTCTTTTTTAGATATTGACGCTGTGTCATCCATCTGCTTTCAGAACAAGTATCTAAGCCGCTCTGATATCTCCAGAATGAGAACAAGGAGATTTAATGTGGAAAAAAAGTCTTTTTTTTATTGAAATGTTCATAACATGTAGTAAGATCATGTCAGAGATATTATGTTTTCTTCCCTTAGTGAAATCCCTCTATATTCATCACTTTCGTTGTAAAGTATCCAATTTGTGAGATTTGGCCAAAAGTTAGGTCATATGACTCCACAGAAAAGCAGACAGTATGTAATGAGACAGAAGGGCCATTCCAAGAGTTCAAATGTGCTAACACAGGTAGAATTGTTATTATCCTGGGAGGAAATACTAACCTGGATCTCCAGAGTTATTCCAATAATAAATATTAGGAGATTCAACCTTAAAAAAGAGGGTAATTTACTGTTTCTCTGAGGCTAACTTTCAAGACCACACAAGAAAGAGGAGATGTAGAAAGAGCATGTGCCTTCTTATAACATCAGTGTAACCTTGGGCTTCTGAAAATTCAATAGGCTGAGATGTTTAAAATAGCTCCCAGCTCAGTTCTTTCCATAGATCATCAACAAACAGTACCTGTATTACTAATGGGAACTTTTTATGGTGGATGTTGAGCTTCAAATTTGGAATTACTGTTAAAGTTATTTACTTTTTCTTGGAAATTTATTCTTTATCTGTCAAGATTACCAAATTTTAGGTTTAAAATTAAGTTACAAATAGGCATAAGGATAGATAACATAATTCACACCATAAAATCAGAATATAGGCTAAAGTTAATCTCTATATAGATATGAAAGAAAAATATTTTCTTGGAAAATAAACAGGTGAATTACAGAGCAGAAGGTTTGCATGGCAATCTATTTCTGCTCTCTTTAGAAGGAATACAAATCACTTTTATCTTTTTACTGAAATGGATTCTTGGGATAACTACAGTATGGTTCATGTTATTATATATGGTTGAATACAAATGCACAATTACAATACTTTACAGCTGCTTTTATTATAGAAGAGATAGCCAATCACTATCTGCGTAACAGAACTTCTGAGCTCATAAAATGCAGAAGCCTAGTGATGTTGTATGATTTTGATCTTTCAGTAGAACCCTCAAGTCTATGACAAAAAGGGAAATTTGGCTGAGGCTTCATTTGCAATGACAGTTGCTGTCAGACTCATGTGCATGACCAAGTTAGGCAGAGGTAGACTGTCCAGGACCTCTGTGGTCATCTACCCTGCTTCCCGTACTATGAATGAATCTGGCTCCATCAATTTGTAATTTTATGACTATAGATAAGATTCTCATTCTTCAGGTTTATTTTCTTCTGTTGAATGATTGGATCTTCTTGTGCTCATAACAGGGTGGGAAAAGAAAATTATCTAGGTGTTTAAGTGAGCTCTAAGAGGCTTTGTGGAACCTACTGGTAAACTAGTGCAGGCTCAGACAAGGGGTGAACAGAAGAAATCAAATGCTGTATCTGGATTTTGCAGTTGAGAAGTCCAGATGTTTGTGGGCAGAAAGGAAGCAGCTGTATGCAACAAGGAGTACTGTAGACTGCCTCCTAAGTCAGGTGCCCTCTCCATACTTCTCCATAATCCACCAGCCCTGTGGTCGGCAAACAGCGGCTCGTGAGCCACATCCTCCTTGAGTGTGGCTCTTCCACAAAATATACCACGGCCTGGGCGAGTCTATTTTGAACAAGTGGTGTTAGAAGAAGTTTAAGTTTAAAAAATTTGGCTCTCAAAAGAAATTTCAAACTTTGTACTGTTGATATTTGGCTCTGTTGACTAACGAGTTTGCCGACCACTGCAACAGCCCTTAGTACTGAGCTTGTAGGATTCAGCTGGAGGCCCTTCCCACTTATTACCCACTAGACTTTTCAATGCTACAACTATTAGGTGCTAGAGTTCTATCAGTTGAAAAATAGAATTTCCTAACTGCATGGCTCTATAAAGGCAACCTGAAGATCTTTAAGAGAGGAGTAGCAAAATGATAAAATTTTCATTTTAAAGAAGAAAGCTCGTATTCTTTATATATTCTTCCTTTATATCACTTGTAAAAGCATCTAAATGTAAGTGCCAGCTTTGTAATTTTAAAAACATTAAATTCAAGAGCTCCTGCTAGAAACACAAAGGAGACTGGAGAATCGGTGAGTCTGCTGGCAGGGAGGGAAACTTGTTAGGAAACTACTGCTCTCAGTAACATGGAGGAAGTGAAGAAGGGATGAAAGGAGGTAAGAGCAAAGGGAAAAGAAAGTAGGAGGCATATGAATGATATTCAGTCAGTAACATCAAGAGGAAGAAGCAGAACTTTCAAATCTGGGGCTTGGAAAGATATTCCAGAGGGATATAAACATAAAAATAGGGTATAAAATTGTATATATTATATGGTCACTGCATATATTATATTTTTACAAAAATATGCACAGGAAATTCATCAAAATAGAAGTGGTTCACTCTGCATGGTAAGTCAATCATTTTGTTAAAAAACTCCTTCCCTAAATCTTTTAAATTTATTAAAAGTATAATTTTTTTGTACATTCTGTATATTTTTGAAGCACATTCATTTCAAAAGCAGTTTACTTTCTTAATAAAACTTCTATGGTTGTAAAACTCCCTTGAGAAAAATTGGACAAAAGGCAAACCATATTTCATAATATATTATACTACTTATAATTTTCATGTCTTTGTGAGGTCTCATTGACTATGAAATTAGAATGGTGAAGCAATCACCCTTGCTGTGGATTTTCTCTTTCTGGTCTAGAAATTCACAGCGGAGAGAGGTGACAGAATTGCTGAGGATCATTTGATTACTCAGTAATCACTGTAGTCACATATGAACTGCATGCTCCTGCCTAGGGACTTTCCCACTTCCATCTGTGTGACTGGTTCTTTTGACTCAAGTGTCATCCTCTCAATAACATCTACTATGTTTATTCTGATTATAAGAATAACGTGTCCCTGTCACCACCATCACCACAGGGTTCCCAATATTGTTTTACCTGCTTTGTTTTCAGGGCACTTATCCCCTAATATGTGACATAATTTATTTATTATATTCAGTGTGTTTCACCCCCTAGAATATAAGCTCCTGAAGTCATACATGGATTTTTATTGTTTTTGTTCCCAAACGTGTCTCCATCACCAGAGAGCACATAATGAATACTCAATAAATATTTGTTGAATTAACATATGCATAAATGAATAATGCATGAAATAATTAAATAACTATTAGATTTAAACAATCATATTCAATTACTTTACAAATAAATATCAGTCATTACTATATTTTACTTTAGAAGTTGCTGATTTTCCACTTAAACATTTGTTGAGACTAATGTAGCCTATGGGGTTCAATAAAGTTCACTATTCTTATATATATTTATTAAAGTTTCCTTTAGATTAAAGAAAGGTGAGGATTGTATTAATAATTTCTCTAATTAGTTACATGTATAAAAATTAAACATATAAGTTTTATCAATAAATGATGCAATAAAATTTCACTTTTTGTAATTAGAGCTACCAAATTGTCTTATTTAAATATATTCATTTGTGGTTGAAGACACTGAAAAACCATGTTCACAATTTCTCATTTAACCACATTTGTCTAGTTTTTTACATTTTTAGTAATGAACAACAAGAAGGGCAAATGCACAAGAAAGCCAGGGCACACATTCAACTTCAATTGTAAGAGCAATTTAAACTACTTTACTGTGTTGTGGAGTTATGGCACCCTCTAGTGTTTGCTATGCAGAAATGCTATGAGAACAAATAATGCAAAAGTTAAAAAAAAATTTAGGCAGCTGGACAAAATGACATGACTAAGTGACAGATTATATGTTTAATTTTGAAATATAGAAGGAAAGTTGAGAAATCAAAGTGGCATAAGAATAATAAACCATTTAAATAACTTTGAAACAATAATACTCCAAGAAACAAAAAGGACAAAGGCAAATTAGTTATTAAAGAAGGAAAATTTTTAAAAATATTCTAGAACTCTGTGAATAAGCCATTTCAAAATGTAAAATTTGATAAAAGAAAATTATCAAATAACACAAAGAGTTTATCTCTGAATACCCAGGAGCTATAATTGTAAGGCTTTTTCATAACATAGCCTCAACCCTTAATACCTATGGATAGTATTCTAACAAGTCCTCAGTATATTAAGAGCTCCCAGTTAATTAAAGAACATTTTATTAAACTAGGGTGTGACTATTTTAGCTTATTCAGTATTTTGTAACTTAGATAAATTTCTTTATTGGCTAATGCTGCTGCAGGTAAATTTACAATGACACTAATGTTACTTACACCAATATAGGCTTTCCTGATATCCTAGGATGTCTTAGCACTTCTGACATTGTCTCTTTTGTCTCTTCCATTCTCTCTTCATCACTGGAATCCACGACAAATATTACCCCATAGGACTCAGCATAGTAATTCTTCCAGATTCCCCGAATTCTTTTTCCACCTCCCAAGTCAAAGATGGTGATTTCAAACTTTCCTTGTCTAAGGTCAATTTTGGAAAATCCAACAGTAGGAGCAACATCTTCGGGACATTCTGTTTTGAATGATATGAAAGAAACAATCTTTAGACTTTAAATCAATAACAACTTAACTTCCAACTTAAATAACATACAATGGAATGAAATGTGTAGAATATTAGAATAGAATGTTTATTATTTCCTTACTCAATGAGCACTACCTCTAAGCAGCATACTGGTCTGGGGGAAGGGTGGATAATATAAAATACCCAACTAGAATTTACACTCTATGCAGACAGGAGTGTCTGTTTTTATTCATTTGTTTTTATTAATATACTAGAAGCATGGTGCACGAAATTCATACACGGGGGGTGGGGTGGGGGGGTTAATGTGTCCCTCAGCCCAGCCTGCACTCTCTCCAATCTGGGACCCCTCAAGGGATGTCTGACTGCCCATTTAGGCCCAATCCCACAATCCAGGATTGCAGGCTCCCAACCGCTCACCTGCCCTCCTGGCTGATTGCCCCTAACTGCTTCTGCCTGCCAGCCTAATCATCCTCTAAACACTCCCCTGCCTGTCTGATAGATGCCTAACTGCTCTCCTGCTGGCTCAATTGCCCCTAATTGCCCTCCCCTGCCAGCCTGGTTTCCCCCCCCCCCCCAACTGCCCTCCCCTACAGGCCAGGTCCCTCCCAACTGCCCTCCCCTTCAGGCCTGTTCCCTCTTAACTGTTCTCTCCTGCAGGCCTGGTCACCACTAACTTCCCTCTCTTGCTGGCCTGGTCCCCCCAACTGCCCTCCCCTGCTAGCTATCTTGTGGTGGCCATCTTGTGTCCACATGGGGATGGCCATCTTGTGTGCTGGAGTAATGGTCAATTTGCATATTACTTTTTATTAGATAGGATACTCAACTCCTAGAATAACCACTACTGTAAAACAAGTACCTAAATAAATATCTGTAGAATGAATAAATGAACTTTTGCCTTTAAGATATTTACTCTCCAAGTTACAAACAAAAATTTAAATCCTTCAATACCACAGACATCTCCAGGAATCATAACAACATCTACGGTTATTTTTTTTTAAAATCTGAACATTTAGAGAACAGTTTAAAAGAACCAAAGAATAGCAGAAGCTAAGGACTACTCTTTTTAATTAACTGAATTCAAGCTATAATTAGATTTAATAAGACTTGTGAGGGCAGCTTAAAAATATAAAAAGTAGCTGAAACCAGTTTGGCTCAGTGAATAGAGCTTTAGCCTGCAGACTGAAAGGTCCCAGTTTTTATTTCAGTCAAGGGTATATACATTGGTTGCGGGCACATCCCCGGTGGGGGGTGTACAGGAGGCAGCTGGTCAATGTTTCTCTCTCATCAATGATTCTAGCTCTCTATTCCTCTCCCTTCGCTGTAGAAAATCAATAAGATATATTTAAAAAAATAATATAAATATATATACATATATATATATATATATATATATATATATATATATAAAGTAGATTTCATTATTTCTACAGGAACATGTTTTGGATGTTCTTGTAAATTTATAATTGAATTTTTTTTTTAACTTCTGTATAGAACAAAAATGGTACTAAAAGTATATAATTATAACTGCTAAGGATTGGTAATCACAATATAAGATTTAAAAGATCACTAACGTTCAAGAAGGACAAACTAGAAGCTGGGATTTAGACCTTAAAGCTAGGAAGGATTTAAACAGAAAAATGATAAAGTATCAGAAATGGTAAAGGCAAGAATTACGGACAAGTTGAACACTGTGGTTAGAGCAAACCCTTAAGACTGTTAATGCAGACTAAAGAGAGTTCTGAAGAGAGAATTGTGAGCCACAGAAGATATTTGAGGAGACCAATAATATAATTAAGTTGACTAAAGTGTGATTTATTAAGATTCATCTTTGCAAAAGTCTCTAGAATTGACTAGAAATATGAGTGATAGCCACTTTTTAAAGTGCAATGAAAATAAAAAAAAGAGATTATGAAAGAGTAATAGGACCTGATGTCTCAATGGTTATGGAGAAAAGTTTAAACTTCATGACTATCTTTTCCATTCTCTCTCCACCACTGGGATCCATAGCAAATATTATTCCATTGGACTTCGTTTACAGTTGGAGGGCCGCAAACTACAATACATAGGGCTTTTAAAATTTAAACCAATCAAATTAAATAAAATTAAAAATTAAGTTCCTCAGCTTTCTTAGCTACATTTCAAGTGTTCAGAAGCCAATATGTGGCTATTTTCCCATCTTACTGGACAGAGCCAATCTAGAACATACCCCTCATTGCAGAAAGCTCTAATGAATAAATTTGGTCTAGAGGATCTTATTCCACCTCCTCAACATGTGCACTACAAAGATAAATTTGAAAGGCTTCTGCTGCTAGGCTTAGGTGTGACTGAAACAGACTTGCAATGTACCACTTCCTTTCACTAAGCACTCCAGGGCACTTTACACAGCTTCCTAGAAAGCTAACAAAGACATTACAGGTCACATTTTTGTAAGAGTTCCTTATTTAGAAGGAAAAAATTCAAGTTAAGAAGCAATATAAGCAACCAGATATTCCAAAAACAGGATTACACTAGATTTCACATTTTAAAATGTGAAATCTGGTCCAGGTCAGAACTGATTTCCACAGTTAAAATAGGCAGCTGATCTTTGAGGAGGATTTGAGAGATATCCTCGGGACATTATCAATGAAAATAAATAACTATGCTGAGTAGGGATAAGAGAACTAAAATGTACAGAACACCTACTGTACCAGGATTTGTTAGGCACAGGTAAACCAGGTAGGGTTGTCCTCTAAGAATACACAGTGCAATACAGAGAGACAGAATATTAACTAGATTTTAGCATAAGAACCAATATATTCTGTGGAAAACTCCGGAGAGGATACTGTGAAGGTGTTATGGACTGCATGTCTGTGTTCCCACAAAACTCTTAGGTTAACTCCAGGCCCTGAATGTGATGATATCTGAAAGTGGGCCTTTGGGAAGTAATTAGGTTTAGTTGAAGTCATGAGGGTGAAGCCCCCATGATGGGACTAGTGTCCTTATGAAGGGCACAGAGAGCTTGTTTCCCCTCTCTCTTACTTCCACCTGAGGACACAATGAGAAGATGACTGCCAGGAAGAGGGAAACATCAAGAAGCCGACCATGCTGGCACCATGATTGCAGACTTTCAGTGTCTGGAATCATGAGAAATAACTGTTTATTTTTGATGCCTCTGTCTATGGCATTATGTTATAGAAACCCAAACTAATAAGACAGTGAGCATTGTTTATGGTATTCTGTTACAGCAGCCCAAATTAAAAAAGGGCACTCAAGAGGAAAGAGATAAAGAGAAAAGAGAGATGGAGATGGGTTATGACCTAGAAAGGCTTCAGAAAGGAAATGAAATGGGAGTGAAGTCTGAAAAGCTACAAAATTATAACAAAGAAAGAAGAAGAACATTCTAGGCCGGAAACCAATGTAAACACAGATAAAATGATAGCAATATTCCCAGGAACCCAATTAAGATTAAGCAATTTTTTTTCAAGGCAGATACATGGTAGGCAGATACAGAACTAAAGTATAGGATTCTAAAAGCCTGCTTATTTTGATACATCGAATGCCCTACCCTTCTTCTCTATTCTTTCCTCTGGTTCTTATGCATGATTCTGTGCTTTAAAATTCAAGACTAAATATTCAGGTTACAATCTTCCCCTAAATCTTTCTCTGATGATCCCTTCCTACTTTAATTCAGCATCATAAATTTTCTTCTTGCTGGTTTTCACAATAGTCTATACCTTCCTAATAACTGAGACCTATCTCTGTATCCTTAGCATTCAGCACAAAGCATATAGTGACTCAATTCATAACACCAGACTGCTAAGATAGCTGCAGCTGCTATCCTTATGTCCATCTTTCTTTTTCCTTCCATATATTTATCCATCCATCTATGCTCATAATTATTTATTGAGATCAGGCATCATATAAGAATCAGGGGTAAAAAGACATATGGTTCCCAATCCTAAGAATTTCATAAAGGATGTGTTAAGAAGACAACCTCTATAAAGTCTAAGATAAAATGAAAATACATAATCAATAATTATTTATTGAACATTTGTAATGTGCTAAGCTCTGTGTAAGGTACTAGATATATAAAGATTAATAATTAAAATCTTATCCTAAAAAACTATTACATAAGAAAATAGGAGGAAACATATATAAGTACATAACTATAATATAATGAAGATTTATTACTATCCAACAATCGTAGGGACCAATCTACACAAAGAATTGTCCCACCCAAAATATCAATAGTTATTTAGGAACTTTTAGGAAACAGCATTGGATAGAGAATCCTGAATTACTTTAGCTGAGCACATAGCTTTTTAGGATAAATACCACAGTCCCTAGTCTCTATGGCAGTTAAGTATGGCTGAGAGAGCAGGTTCTAGGGAGTGTGCTGGTGGTATATTGTTAGATGTTTAACTGGGTCAGTGGAACTCTGATAGGTAGGGTTTGCCATGTCCATGGTGAAAATACTCCCACTACGGACAATTTCAAACTACCAGCATGAGTTTGAAAACACAGAGTTGGAAAAGAGATATGCACATTGGCTCTTGCTTAACTGATATGAGGCAATAAGCACAAGTAGGAACCAGATCCAGACCACCACTGATTCCAGTCAATGGCAGGTGGCATCTTCTAGTCCCACACTGAAAGGAAAGAAGGATGGCCTCCCCTTGCCTTTCATCTCTTCCTTCCAGCTGAAATGAGCCACCGTGGACCAGTAGGCAAGGGAGAATACTTGTAATAGAAAGCAAACAAGAGAAGGAACCCGAGTTCCTAACACCATGGAGCTACTATACAAGCTACAGACTACTTTTGACTGCATTGTTATGAGAGAGAAATACACTTCTATTTTGTAAAATCACTGGTATTTTGGATCTCTGTTAGAACAACCACATCTACACCCAATTAATGCAATCATTTTGATAACCCTGAAGAAGAGAAGGTGATGCATAACCAATGGTCACAGACAATAGGGTGGTGAAGGTCTGGGGTGAGGGCGGTCTAGAAGGGGTCAATGGGAGGAAAAAGGGGACATATATAATAGTTTCAACAATAGAGACTTAAAAAAAGGGGGATTAAGCTCAAGATAGGGAAAGTACTCTTAGATTAGGAAGTTATAGTAATACTATAGATGAAAGACACTGTATTTACTGTAGACAATGGCAATACAGTTAAAGAGGAAGGAGATATACCTCAAAAGAAACAAGCAAACATCAAAAACAAAGAAACAAACAGAGAGAAGAGGCAGAAATAAGCTGAAGTCATGAGTAAAATGTTTTAAGAATATTGGCTGCTACACTTAAGGTGTGGCCTAAACTACAAAACAAATAAAACTATCCTTTGGGAATTTAGTTTGGAGAGGTGGAGAGATACATAAACAAAAAGGCAATTAAGTAGCGGTTCAAGCAGGTTTAGTAAAGATAAGAGTTGACCAAAACAGAGGAAATAGTTCTACTCATGATAATAGATGAGGGCAGCAGAAGATCAGAAAGGAGTTCATTAAGAAGGAGACTGTATTACAAAAATATATATTCAGAGATAAGTAGGTATTCTATCTTAAAGGCTCAATTTGAAAAAGTTCAAGTACTTCTTTATAAATGGAATCTTTAAAAAAGAAAAACATCAGTCCCTGGAATATGATAATAGTAAATATGAGGTGAAGGAACAAAATCAGAACCAGAAAGGAGCTCAAAGTTAAGGGTAGTTTTGACTATTTGTTCGACACCTTGAACATTTTCTAACTTCGATAAAGAAACTAAAGGAGACAAGAAGGTGGAAATAGGCAGAGAAAGCACCAAAGGGGAGGGGACCTTTTTTCTGCCAAAGGCCATTTGGATATTTTTTACCTCATCTGTGGGCCTTACAAAATTATCAACTTAAAAATTAGCTTCCATTTGATCATTTAATTAACTCACCCCTAATGACTTGGCAGGGCCACACCAAATGATTTTATGGGCCTTTTATGGTGCGCAGGTTGCAAGTTCCCCTACCTCTGCTCTAATGGAAAGAGGATACTCTAGGTGCACATAACAAATTAGATGACCTGATGAGCAGATTCTTAGAATGTGTTCCCTTCAATGTTAAGACTTTGAAGGAATAAAGAAGAGAAGATGTTTAGGTAAAGGAGTCATGACCAGAAAGCCAAATCTGGCTCACCAATGCCGTTGTTTTTTTAATCCTCATCTGAGGATATGCCTTTACTGATTTTAGAGGGAGATGGGAAAGGAAAGGGGGAGAAAAGCGAGAGGAGGAGGGGGAAAAGGAAGAGGAAGAGGGAGAGAGAAACATGGATGTGGGATTGACACCAACAGATTTCCTCTGGCGCATGTCCTAACCTGGTGCATGGGATGACGCGCCAGTTATCTAAGCCAACCAGCTAGGTCTTGCCAACTTTTTGTTTATTTGTTTTTAACAGGTGTTGATTGTCACAGATTTTGCTGCAAGAATCTTTGACTCTGAAACATAAGAGCCTGTGTAATTTTATCTCTAATTTTCCAAAGGCACCAAATGCCTGCCATTGACTTTTTCACTGAGTGCCTACAACAAAGAATGTGTAAATCCTCTCTCCTTTTCTGCTCTTGTGACTGCAGTTTTTAAGTTCTCGGGCTAAGAATGTCTTTCACATTTTAAAATAATTGCAAAAAAAGAAAATTTCATAATACACCAAATAAAATTTCATTAGAATATGACTATGCTATTTGTTTACACATTGTGTATGGATGGCTACTTTCATACCAGTGTGTTAGAATTGTATAGTTGGAAGAGAGCATATGGTCCTCAAAGTCTAAAATATTTACTATCTGGCTTTTTGCAGAAGTTTGCCAAGCATGGTTTAGATGATGACAGCAAGTGTTCCACAATGATATAATCTAGTAGACAGCATGAAGATAACAAAAACGCTTAGAAGAATTCGCAAACAATAATATGCTATTTATATCTAATGTCACATAGTAAAACCTAGGGTGACAAAATACTTTTTTCCGCCAAAGCCAATTTGGCTCAGTGGTAGAGCATCAGTCTGCGGACTGAAAGGTCCCAGGTTCGATTCCAGTCAAGGGCATGTACCTTGGTTGCGGGCACATCCCCGGTAGGGGGTGTGCAAGAGGCAGCTGGTCGATGTTTCTCTCTCATCAACGTTTCTATCTCTCTATCTCTCTCCCTTTCTCTCTGTTAAAAATCAATAAAATATATATTTTTTAAAAATGTTTTTTCCAACAGCAAGTTTTGCAATTTTATTTTACAAACTTCCATAAATAAAAGCCCCCTGATTGTCTGTACACATAGTATTTTCTTGAAACACCCATTTTCGGAAACAAATATATGTTAGGTTTCCTCCCACTTCATTCCCTTCAGACACCTGGCTGGTGCTATATCTCCTAGGTACACAAAAAACTCCCTAGCACAGTTATTTCTATACTAGAAGCCCAGAACGCAAAATTGCATGGCCCTGCCCACCCACATGTGTCTTGCTGTGCAAGAAGTCCTGCCCACCTGCGCATGCCTCGCCACACATGCAGCCCCACACACCTGTGTGCACCTCGCTACACACACAGCCTCCTGGTGACCAGCCTTTAGTTGTTACAACATTACGACCACTGTATTTTTATTATATAGTGTGTAGTACAAGGCACCAAAGTAAGACTAAATAAATACATCCAGTAAGATATAGCATAAATGGCATAAAACCCTTTAGTGATACAGAGGTCCTATCTTATATAATAAAGTGGTAATATGCAAATTGACCGTCACACCCTCACAAGATGGCTGCCTACAACAAAGCTGTCAGGGGGGTTAGTGAGGGACGACCAAATGACTGAACAAGCAGACTGGGTGGGGCAACCAGACCAGCAATGGGGGTTAGTGAGGGACAACCAAACAATTGAAGAGCAGGCTGTATGGGGTGACCAATGGGGGGAGGGGGGCATGAGGGGCAACCAGGCTGGCAGAGGGGGGTAGTTGCAGGCAACCAGGCCAGCAGGGGAGGGGGACAGTAAGTGGTGACCAGGCCCACAGGGGGAGGAGGGGCAATTAGGAGTGACCAGACCAGCAGGGAGGGGGAAGTTGAGGGTGATGTGGCAGCAGTGGGGGGCAATAAGGGGTGACCAGGCCAGCAGAGGGGGGCAGTTAGGGGTGACCAGGCCGGCACACAGAGGCAGTGAAGGATGATCAGGCTGGGGGGGGGGGGGGCAGTTAGGGGTAACCAGGCAGGCAGGCAGGTGAGCGACTGGGAGCCAGTGGTCCAGGATTGTGAGAGGTATATCTGGATTGGAGAGGGTGGAGGCTGGGCTGAGGACGCCCCCCCCCCCCCCGACCCCATGCATGAATTTCATGCACTGGGCCTCTAAAAAAAATAAATAAATAAAAATGTATATATATATGAAGTCCTAATATACAAATAGACTGAACAACCAAACCACCACTTGCTATGATGTATGCTGACCACCAGGGGCACGTGTGGAACATGGTGAGCATTGGCAGCAGGCGGCAGATGTGGAACATGGTGGGTGTTGGCAATGGTGTGATGGTGGAGCAGGAGAGCAGAGGCACCAGACCAAGGCAGGGCACTGGTCGCTATCATTGGGGTGAGCTTCTGATGATTATTGAAAATTCTTTGCTCCTGCACAGGGATTCCGCCTGGTGGTCGCACCTGCTGCTGGTGCCAGCCACGCTTGCACCTGTTGCTGGCACCAGAGCCACCACTCATACCTACTGTCAGTGCCGGCCTCAATCGCTCGGCTCCGTCAGCAAGTGCAAGCAGCAGATGCCAGCCCGAAACACTCCTCAGGACTTCTCCACCTCCCTCTGCTCCTGAGGGGAGATCGAGGTTGGCAGCCGCCGCTCACACCCGCTGCAGGTGCTGGAGCTGCCACTCACACCCACTGCTGGCCCTGGTCCCGCTTGCACCCACTGCCGGCGCCTGGCACTGGCCCAATCGCCCCTAAGGGATGGGCCAAGAGGATGGGCCAAGACCTGCCCCTGTGCCCACCTCAGCCTGGAGGCCCACAGGTGCACAAATTTGTACACTGGGCCCCTAGTCTTTAATATAATTCTAAAAATTACATATCATATTGAAAAAATCAAAAGATGCACACATTTGTGCTGGCTAACTATATTTCTACCTCCCTTTCATTTAGTGTAGCCTTGTAACTAAATTCTGGCCAAGAAAGTATAAGTAGAAGGTGGATATTCTTAAAAAAAGGGGCATGTAACTTTTTTACTTTTCCTTCCTATGGGATAGAAGACCAATGTAATGCCTATTAGCTGATGAAAGACCTCAAGGAGCAGAGGGGGGTAATTGGTGGCGACCAGGCCGGAAGGGTAGTTGGGGATAAGTTGGGGGTGATCAGACCGGCAGGGGGCGAGGAGCAGTAAGGGGTGACCAAGCCCATGGCGGGAGGGCAGTTAGGAGCGACCAAGCCAGCAGGGAGGGGGAAGTTGGGGGCAATCAGGCCAGCAGGGGAGGGGCAGTAAGGAGTGACCACGTCTGTGAGGGGGGGGACATCTTTGCATTTATTCAAATATGAAACATGATAACAGACTGGTATTATAAAGACAGATTCTATTCACCACATTAGCCACAGTATAGTGAGAATATAAAATAACAGAGTACACACTACCTGTACTCAAGAAATATGTAATAATGAAATTGATAAATAAATCAGAATAATTTAGTAATAAATATTTTCTGCTTACCTCCTTGGATTCCCTTTGCTGTTGCTGTTTTACCAGCATTATCAAGTCCCACCATCACAAGAGTCACCTTTCTTAAAAGGACAAAAATTTTAAAATCAGTTTGAGTTAATTCAATATTGGAAAAAATAAAACAAATACATTCATTCAAGCAACATTTAGGAGGATCTACTATACAAGACAATCAGCTTGATATTAAGGGTAAAATAATGAATAAGTGAAGATTAAAAAGCAAAATTCATAAAGAATACCTTTAAAGTATCATTCTTTCATTCTCTAAGCAAAAAAAAAAAGGGGGGGGGGGGAGATAAGATTATAAAATAGAAACCCAAAGGATAGAAAAATAAGGAAAAGAAAAAAGAAAGATGGAGAGAGGGAGATGGAGTCTAACAAGAGTTATGAATCATGATTAAAGATTAAATGTTCTGATTGAGTTCTAAGGATTATCAGAAATCTGCTTTTTCTTATGACATTACATAAGAAAATAATTATTGTTATATCCGGCACTACTTGTGCGCTAAACTCTGTTTTTTGAAATATGTGGCACCTTACCAAGTATAAATTTTCCATATAGTATAGTCACATGACTATTAAATGCTAACATATTTTCAAAGAGCACTACAATTATAAAGCTTAAAATGTATCTGATGATTTAGCCAAATTTCACAGAAACAGAAAAAAAAAGATACAGTCTAGTTCAGTTTTACAGCTAAGAAGTCATAAGCTCGAGTTGGAAGACATAAGACAACAAATAGGTTTAACAAAAACCAAAATTTAATTCACCTAAATCCTAGGAAATTCTTTAACCTGGGACAGGTACAAAGGAACAAACCTATTATACTGATCCTGTGAACATGACAATTCAGTCTACCACTAAAACTCATTTCTGTTCTAGGGTACTACTGCACAGTATGAGACGAGACCATCCATTAACAGCATGGATTTGAGAATACAGAGAGAAAGCCACAACATAACACAGCTAGCTGCTGAGTTAAAACCACAAGGCATCCTAGCCGGTTTGGGCCAATGGATAGAGCATTGGCCTGAGGACTGAAGGATTCTGGGTTCAATTCCAGTCAAGGGCACATGCCCGGGTTGCAGACTTGATCCCTATTGGGAAAGTGGGGGGTGCAGGAGGCAGCCAATCAATGATTCTCTCTCATCATTGATGTTTCTCTCTCCCCCCCTCCCTTCCTATCTAAAATCAATAAAATAAAATAAAAAAAGCACAAGGCTACAGGAGGCAACCAGTCAATGTTTCTCTTTCTCTCTCTGTTCCTCCCTTCCATTCTCTCTGAAAACTAATGGGGAAAAAATCCTCAGTTGAGAATTAACAAAAAATAAAAAATAAAATAAGTAAATTATGAGTTATATATATATAGTATGTTAAAAGGTGATTACGTACTATAGGAAAAAGAACAGAGCAGGATAAAGGGGAGCAGTAGTGGGGATAGGAAATGGGTTGCAGTTTTACGTCGGGTGACCAGGGTGCGTCTGATTGAGAAGGTAAAGCCTGAGCAAGGCCTTGAAAGAGGGAGTTCATCATCTGGGGCAAAAGAGAACAAAAGGCACTGGACCAAAGGCACTAAAGTGGGGACATACTGGCATGTTCCAGTACCAGCAAGAAAGCCACTGTGGTAAAAATCAGTGAGAGCCCCAGCCCGATGGCTTAGTTGGTTAGAGTCGCCCCACAGGCGTCCTCAAACTTTTTAAAGTGGGGGCTAGATCACGGTCCCTCAGAGAGCTGGAGGGCCGGACTATATGAACTACTAATTCCTACTGTAACACCTCGGCTGCGCTCACTGCCCAAAAAACCTGGCGGGCCGGATCAGACTCCTCTGCGGGCTGCATGTGGCCCGAGGGCCGTAGTTTGAAGACGCCTGCGTTAAAAGGTGTCGGGTTCAATTCTCAATCAGGGCACACACTCATGTTACAGGTTCCATCCCTAACAGGGCCCATATGGAAGGAAACCTACTGATGTTTGTTTCTCTCTCTCCCTTCCTCTCTCTAAAATCAATAAAAGCATATTCTCCAATGGGGGTTAAAAAAACAAACAGTGAGAAAGGGGCAGGGAAGGGCAGGAGATCAGAAACACTTCAAAGGCAAGATCATGTAGGACCTTTACACTATGGTGAGGACTTCGGCTTTTGTGAGTGAAATTAATTTACTCTCTGTGTTAATTTCCTTAGTCTTTTCCAGATGTTTCAACCATCCCTACCCACAATGAGGAATAAACAGAAGGATGTCTATGCTTGAGTCAGTGAAAGAACAAAGCAAGCCACAATTAGCAGCATCCCCTTACATCATGCCCAGTCACCAGTGCTGGGATCAGAGAGAATGCCAAAGAGATCAACAGCAGATTATGAACTTAAGGAGATGAGATAGTATGTAGATACTACTATCCATGTGAAAATTTTACCTGCATTATCAATTTTGAAAAATATCAGTTTACTTCTTGAGAAAATTATGATGTGTTTAGAGTATAATTTATTATTTTGTTTGAAGAACTCATAACTAACAATTATTAAGGAATGAGATTTAAATGCAAAATAATTTTCTAAACAAAATGTAGTAAATGACTATACTAAAAAATAATGTAGCATTTTAAGCAATATTTTAGGAAATTCAAGACACTACATATACAGTGAAATAGATTAAAATTATGTTAAAGTTAATTGTATTATTCTTTAATAATTTATAATGCAGTTCAAGATCTACAGTGCTAATAACATCACCATGAACCAAAATAATTACTTTTGGAAACATATCACCATTTACTGCTTGTTTGCACCATTTACTCTCTATATATTGATGAAGCACCTATTATACAATAGCAAATAAACATCCAAAATCCCCAGCCCTCATAAACCATAGAGCCTAGCAAGAAAATAGGCAATGGAGAGATAATTATGTGTGGTGACTGTTGTCAAGAGAAGCACAGGCAGCCACAGGAAGAGATAACAGGCAACTGTGCCTATTCTGGAAGTCAAGGAAGACCACACTACAAACATGCAGCAACTGGTCAGCAGTTCCTAGAAACATCATAAAACTTTTCACATCCCTTATGAGACAAAGTGAAACATCTTAAATTACCTTTTAAGGAAAATGCCCCCTCATTCTCTTAAATGGGTAGTATCTTATGTCCACCTCCCCAACTCCATCCTTGTTAATATTTCAGTTTTTAAAAAATCTTCCAACCCTGGCTGGTGTGGCTCAGTTGGTTGAGTGTCATCCCATGCATCAAAAAGATCAATGACGAAACCGGTTTGGCTCAGTGGATAGAGTGTCGGCCTGCGGGCTGAAAGGTCCCGGGTTCGATTCCCGTCAAGGGCATGTACCTTGGTTGCGGGCATATCCCCGGTTGGGGGTGTGCAAGAGGCAGCTGGTCGATGTTTCTCTCTCATCCACGTTTCTAACTCTCTATCCCTCTCAATTCCTCTCTGTGTAAAATCAATAAAGTATATTAAAAATAAAATTAAATAAAAAAAGATCAATGGTTCAGTTCCTGGTCAGGACACATGCCCGAGTTGCAGGCTCCATCCCCAGTGGGGCATGCAAAAGGCAGTTGATACATGTTTCTCTCTCACATCAAGATCTTTCCCTCCCACCCTCTTTTTCTCTCTCTAAAAACATTTTTGTAAAAATATTCCAAATTATTACTATTACACATTGTTCTTAAAGCTAGCTACCAAGAATGTTAGCTTTTTCTTTAAATGTTTTCATTGTTTAAAAATGTATCTTGCCTTTGCTACTTTGGCTCAGTGGATAGAGCTTTGGCCTGCTGTATGAAGGGTCCCAGATTCAATTCCCATCAAGGGCACATGACCGGATTGCAGGCTCAATCCCCTGTGAGAGGGCATGCAAGAGACAGCCAATCAATGATTTTTCTCTCATCACTTATATTTCTCTCTCTCTCTCCCTCCCTCCCTCTTCCTTCCTTTCTGAAATCAATAAAAAATATTTTTTAATATATTTTTATTGATTTTTTACAAAGAGGACAGGAGAGAGATAGAGAGTTAGAAACATCGATGAGAGAGTCATAGATCAGCTGCCTCTTGCACACCCCCCTAGTGGGGACGTGACCGCAACCAACATACACGCCCTTGACGGGAATCGAACCTGGGACCCTCTATCCACTGAGCCAAACTGGTTGGGGCAAACCACAACATCTTGACCCAAGTTATGTTTCAGTTCCTGAGCCCTAAGATGAAACGACCACTGGCTATTTTCCCATGAGACCAGACAGAGAGACATTGGAAAAGACCACAGAGCTATCCTCACAACCTGAAGATGATGATTCACTAACCTTACCCTACCTCCAACCAATCAACTCCCATCTCAACCTAAACCCCTAATCCACCATGACTTGAGATTTTGCCCTAAATAATATGTAACCTACACACCTTAGAGAAGTTCCAGCTTTTGAGCATTCGCTTCCCATTCTCCTTAACGGTGCCATTCATCAATAAAATATCCACTGCAATTCTCAGGGTCTAGTGTTTGGCTTTGCTAGTGCCGAGTGAACAAACTCTTCCTGTTCTATAACAACAGTAAGAAGAGTTTGAACATGTTTATGTACTAAAGAAGAAATAAAAGTGAAGATTTATTTAGTTGGATAATAAAACTGAATACTACATTTTAGGATAAAAGTTTAGATTTATCCTTGCATCCCAGAAATCCTATCATTGATCTCTGGCCAAATGCTGAACAACTGAAGTTCACCAGGAAGTGGAAGAAATGAACTATGTGCAAAGCATCAGGTACTTGGGTAAATTTTCTTTCTCAAAATGCTGCATGATAGAAATTATCCACGCTTGACATAAAAAAAAAATTTCTAAAACCCCTAGGATTCAGACTTGAGTCTGTTTGACTCAAAACACTATACTGAGAAATTGGGCAGACACCACCCTACCAAGTGATCAAGGTTAACACCATCAGTAACAACACATATCAACATCACACATCCCCGATGTAATGTACTGAGAAGGATACCTCACCTTTGTGGTATCCCTCTGCCCAACTAATGCAACAACACCTTTACCAAATCACAACAAAACACCAAACACGTTGAAGGGGGATTTTACAAAACATTTAACAAATACCTTCAAAGTCTCAAGGTTTTAAAAGACAAGGAAAGACTGTTACATACAGATTGAGGAACTACTACATACAGACTGAGGGAGACCAAAGAAACATGGCAAAGCAATATGGAATCCTCGAATAGATCTCTGACAGTAAAAAAGGGCATTAGGTGTTAAAACTGTTAAACTCAGAATAAAGACTGTAATTTAGTTAATAGCATTGTATCAAAGTTAATTTCGTAGCTTTGACCACTATATTGTGGTCTCAAAATAAAAATTATTTTTTTAAAAACCCACACTGCCTGGCTGTTGTGACTCAGTGGTTGAGCATCGACGATTAACCAACAAGTCCACCAGTTTGATTCCCAGTTAAGGCAAATGTTCTAGTTACAAGTTCCACCATCAGTATGGGGCATGCAACAGGCAGCCGACTGATGATGTTTCCCTCTCATTAATGTTTCTACCTCTCTCTAAAAATCAATAAAAATATATTTTAAAAATAAATAAAAACCCAACACTATATTGAACTGCTTCTATAGGAGCAGAGCACTTATATAAATACTAGAGGCCCAGTGCATGGATTTGTGCACATTAAAAGGAAATTAATTAGAAGGTGGCCAGAGGGGCATGACTGGGCCAGAAGGGTATCTGCCGAGTGAGCGGGGTCCCTCCAGCAGGTAAGGTCCCTCGGCCTGGCCGGTGGGGACTGGGCCAAAACCAGCAGTCCAACATCCCCCAAGGGGTCCTGGAGTGCCAGAGAGCACTCTGCAAAGTTGTTAGCGCTCAACAGCTCCTGTGTGGTCAGTGTGCATCATAGCTACTGGTTGGAGCATTTGCCTCCAGTGGTCATTGCACGTCATAGGAACAGTCAGGTGGTCGCTTAGGCTTTTGTATATATAGATGGGTCTAGCTATTAGTCTATTCAAAACTAATTTACACAGACTGAAAGCCTCGTTCAGGTTCTGACCGATGGTTAACAATAGATGCCTATTGTCCCTGAATTGCCTGGCATCCTGGTCCTCACTCCTGACCTAGACTGGTGCCTTAACAATTGACCTCTGACTCCTACCTTGCCCTCACCAGAGGTTCCAAATACTGCATCAAATCCCTGGTTATTGTAGTTGTCTACAATAATGTGCTCACTGGGAAAGCAACTAAGTGAGGATGGGTGGGTAAACCCAAAAAGTGCAGGATATATTAGGTAAGTCAACAAAGTAACCCTAAAACATAATGTATTAATAAACATCATATCCTCTTACATGCTCACATTGTAAAACATATCTCCATAAAATATAATATAAACATGAAGAGAAAACGCAATAAGGAGCAGCATAACAAAAAAAACCTTCAAATTACAAAACAGTAGCTCATAAAAGCAAAAATTTGATATATACTTTAAATCAGTTTGCTCACCTCCCATTTATTCCAGTAACTGCAACTACTTGCCAACATTATTTACATTAGGGTGATTATTGCTAAGGAGTGATCAAAATAAATACAATATTTTGCAAATATTTACTTAGGCACTCTTATGAACTAGGCATTGAACAATAATACTTAAAAGATGGGTGTAATCTAACTTGTTTTTAATTCTTTGGCTGTTAACTCTATGCAACAATGAGAGATATTTACCTATGCCTCTATATTAGGCCATGTAGATCAGGGAGTTCCCATAGAATTACACTGTAAACCATTTATGTAAGTTTAAATTTTCTAGTAACTGCATTTTAAAAGTGGAAATAAAAAGTGAAATCAGTTTACTATTATATCTCATTTAATCCTTTACATCCAAAAGTTATTTCAACATGTAATCACACTGAAAAAAAGACATGATATTTACTTATTTTCATTTTTTGCATAATAAATCTTCTCTATTAGGACTAGCCACATTTCAAATGCTCAACTGCCACATGCAGCAAGTCCCTACTCTACTGGACAACACTGATCTAGATGCTAATTGGACAAAGATACATTCTCCTTTCTCTGAACTCTATCTTTTCTTTAAACAACTGACCCCGATTTTACACTACACCTGCTAAGAGAAGCAGACACAAAGAATGATGAATTAAACTGAAAATTCTTTTGGAGTGCAAGCTTTTTTGGGTGTTTTTAGTCAAAAGAAGACCTGGTAGCCCTACTCAGTTTCACTCAGTGGACAGAACATCGGCCTGAGAACTGAAGAGTCCCAGGTTTGATTCCCTTCAAGGCATGTACCTTGGTTGCTGGCACATCCCCAGTGGGGGATGTGCAGAAGGCAGCTGATTAATGTTTCTCTCTCATTGATGTTTCTAACTCTCTATCCCTCTCCCTTCTCCTCTGTAAAAAAATCAATAAAATATTTATATTTTAAAAGACCTGGTATTGTGGCCTCTTCTAAAAACAAAATACATTTTTAAAAAGCAGAAATAGAAAAAAAAAAAAAAAAGAAAGAAAAAAGAAAAAAGAAAAGAGACCATTATGAGTGATCCTGAAATCTTAGTAGAGATTCTGTTATCAGCACATAACATGATTGGAACAAATATATACACCCAAACACATCTTTCACTCTATCAGTCAATCATATTACTTATATTTAAAACGTTCAAATCCAGTTAAGAGGAAAGAATTTTAAAAGTTTTGTTTAGAATACATTTCTTTTCCAAATGTAGACATATATTTTTTTCCTTATAATATACAATAGCTTTTCAGATTTACTCTTTATAGGATAGCTCATCCTTACTGCAAATACTATGCTTGAAATGTTAATTTAAAAAAAAATTTTTTTTTTACTACAAATTACCCCTAGCCTAATTCCAAAGTAGAATGGTAAGAAATCATTATAAAGAATAACAAACTTATGCTTTCTTTATAGAACATCATTTTCACTGACTCCTTCCTAGTACAGTGCCTCTGGCCCATAATATTTTCCCAACAAATACCTGCTGAGAAGTGGATGAATGAATATCTAGTATCGGGCAATGAATATTAGTATATCTAGCATACCCTACAGTTAAGAAAACACTTTTCATCAGTCACTCGCATTTAATACAACACTCCTGAGGCACAGATGTTATCACCCCTCATTACATATATGAGGAAGGTGGGGCCAAAAAAATGTTAAAGTCATACACTGTAATTATGAATTAGTGGAGCCACATTTCAAGCCCAAGTAAATCCCCAAACAAAACGTGTGTGTGTGTGTGTGTGTGTGTGTGTGTGTGTGTTGGAAAGGACTGTGTGAATGTTATGAAAACGATATTCCATGCTTCTCTACTTAAAAAAAGTAAATCCTCACTACAAAAACTTCAGAGGAGAAATACACACGAGTACAACATCCACAACTTTTAAAGCACTTGGACCCATTTAAATGATAACAACAACAAGCGCTCTTGATGAAGTCTGGCACCCAGACAAGCAGGTTGCATCCCTGTGTTCCTCCCTCCGGGGACGAATCAAACGGGGAGGACCGCATCCCCCGCGGCCCGGACAGGCTCTCCCCGGGCCCAGGGCGGGCGGCTCCCCGGTCCCTGTCCCGGGAGGCGCGGCGGCGGCTCGGCCTACCTGACGGGCTCCTGCCGCCGCTGGAACCAGCTGCAGCAATTGGCCATCAGACCGAACATCCCCGGCCGCTCCGCCCGCCGCCTCCCATCCGAGCCTGGAGCGGGGCTGGGCCCCGGTGGCCCCGGGCCGAGTCCCGAACCGCCTTCCCTACGAAAAGCTCGGCGCGGTGAGCCTCGGAGGAGGGGCCGGGAGGGAGGGGACGGCGGCGGTCAGTCCGGGCAAAACCGGAATAATCGCGCCGGCCCGCCAGCGGACAACGACGGAGGGATGACGGAGGAGGAGGCACAGATTCACACGCCCGAGCTGGGCTAGCGGGCCGAGCGGAGAAAACCCCCACGTCGACGTGCTGACGTCCCTCCCCTGCGTGCCGGGCCCTTCCAAGCCCCGCCCATACGCCCCTCCAATCATCGTTCGAGGGACGGCGGAGGGGGCCTCTGAGTGGCTGGAGGGGCCGGCTCTCTTCCCCCAACTCCCACCTCCAAAGGTGGGAGGAAAGAGGGGGCGGGGTCTAGAAGAAGGAGGTGGAGTCCCGGGACGATTATTCTCGTTACTAGGCAACGGTAGTGTCCAGCGATGATCAGAGGAATCCCGGACAACAAATCTCAGGAGAGGTTTACCTGTACAATACATCCATCCCGAAGTGTGTAACAGCCCAGGGTGCTGCTCCTCCTCTGTCTCCAATCACAGCTGAAATCCAAAGATCTCAAATCTTGTGCGTGTTTTGTTTTTGTTGTATGCACCAGGGATGGGGATCCACTGGGATTACAGCAGACTGACTGCACAACTATAGAAACAATACATTGGGGGAATTATTACAAGGACAAGGGGAAAACCTCATTTCCTACCCTGCTTCCCCGAAAATAAGACAGTCTTATATTAATTTTTTCGACCAAAGATGCGCTAGGTCTTATTTTCAGGGGATGTCTTATCTTTCCATGAGCTAGGTCTTATTTTCGGAGGATGTCTTATTTTCGGGGAAACACGGTAGTTATATCAATAGTTCAGATGAGCGTGACATGTTCACTTGTATAATGTTATTGCTGTTTCTTACATAAAGTGGGAAATGGAATTGTATATTTATTGTGTGGGGTGGTAGGATTACTAAAGAAATATATGTTTATTGTAGAAAATGTAAAAAAACAAAAACAAAACAAAACCAACAACAACAAACCACTAAATAAAGCAATAAGATTTAGACAATAAGATGTGACACTCACTACCCAAAGATAACAAGTGTTAACATTTTGATGTATGTTCTTTCCAGGTATTTTAGATACATAGATTGCTAGCTATTTGGTTTCTGCAAGATTGAGCTGGTGAACTACTGGCTCTTTTGCAACCTGTATTGTATTATTTAAAGAGACTTGTAATATTTTTTGTAATATTCTTGGAAAAAGAAATGACAAGTGAATTCCTATAGGAAAAAAATCATGCATAATATATAAGGGCCTGTGTATGCATTCAGCTCCTACTAATATATTTTTCACATCCTGGTAAAAGGAGAGAAGGCCCTGGGAAACCTAGTGATTCCAGGGGGAAATAGTGGTTTGGAGCTAAGATAGAGTTTTTAAATTATTCTCTGTCCTTTACTAATTTATATGATCCTAATTCAAACTCATATACATTACTTACAGTTTACTATCTCTGAAACAAAGTACCCCAGCTATAAAAGGAGAATAATAATATCTCCTTTGCAAGGTTGCTAAGATGATGAAATTAGAGAATTAAATCTCCAGTGTGATTTGTAACAAATGAGAGCATATTTGGAAGTTGGTGTTACCTGACTCATAAACATTAATGGCACATATCCTCATAATTTTTTCCAATCAGCAAGGAATCTTAAGTCACCACTAGTGACTCAGTGTTGCAGAAGACAGGAGAAAAACGAAGCAACACTTAGAGAAATGGAGTCACACTTTATTATTATTATGTGTGGACCCAGTGAAAAATGTCTTTCAAATTTTGGGCCAAGAAAACATGGAAGAACCTTCCCTATTTACACTTTTTCCAGCTCTTTGTCTCCTAAATAAAGGTGTTTCCTATCCCCTTTGCAAATTCTTAAAGAGCCCTATGTGCTGGGGCTTTGAGACCTCAACCAAAGGCCTGGCCTGGTGCCAGCACTGATAACTTCATCTGGGAAAGTTTTATTGCCTCTCTGGAATGGGAATAGTCTTATTTTCCTTATTATTTGAGTAAGCAAGCATTTACAGAAGCCAAAATAGCAGAGTTAAAATTTCAAACAGCAGTTTTTATATATATATAAGATGGATGCTTCACCAGTACATGGATTCTTACAGATTGAAAGGAAATTAATTAGAAAGTGGCCAGCAGGGCAGGACTGGGTGAGATGGGCCGGACACACCTGGAGCTAACCTCCTGTGGTCCCTTCCCCACCACCGCACCTGGGGTGGCACTGTGGCTTGAAGGGCATCTGTGGAGTGAGCAGGATCCCTCCAGCAGGTGGGGTCCCTCGACCTGACCTGCAGGGATTAGGCCAGAACAGGCTCTCCAACACCCCACAAGGCGTCCCAGACTGTGAGAGTTCCCTCCTCTCTGGTTCCAAGTCATGGCAGCTTGGTAGCTCCTGCGTTGAGCGTCTGCCCTCTGGTGGTCAGTGCATGTAATACCTACCAGCCAGCTGGATGGTTGGACGGTCGCTTAGCCTTTAATATATCTATATCTATATCTACATCTACATCTACATCTACATCTATATCTATATCTATATCTATATCTATATCTATATCTATATCTATATCTATATCTATATTCTCACTCTCCTGCCTTTGTAACGTCAACTTTCTTTTCGATTACTCATGGATGTATGACCTCTACTGAGTTTCCTAGATTAACCTGCCCTTCCTCATCAGTAAGAGGTGCTGCCTCTGCCCAGACTGTTCTGGCCCTATACTAAAATGTCTCTATAATATAATACTCCACACCTGTCAGAATGGCTATTGTCAACAAATCAACAAACCATAAGTGTTGGCGAGGATGCAGAGAAAAAGGAACCCTCATGCACTGCTGGTAGGAATGCAGACTGGTACAGCCACTGTGGAAAACAGTATGGAGTTTCCTCAAAAAACTAAAAATGGAACTTCTATTTGACCCAGTAATTCCACTCCTAGAAATATATCCTAAGAAACTAGAAACACCAATCAGAAAGGGTATATGATGCACCCCTATGTTCATAGCAGCACAATTCACCATAGCTAAGATATGGAAATAGCCTAAATGCCCATCAGTAGATGACTGGATCAGAAAACTATGGAACATCTACACAATGGAATACTACACTGCCATAAAAAGAAGGAATTCTTACCATTTGCAGCAACTTGGATGGAACTGGAGAAAGCATCAAACAAACTGTCACATTACAGCGGGAAGGTTAGGGAGATATGGGGGAGATAAGGGATCAACCAAAGGACTTATATGCATGCATATAAGAATAACCAACGGATGCAAAATGTTGGGGGAGGGGTGAGGGCATGTATGAAAGTGAGGTGGTGGGGCAATTATATGTACACATATAATACCTTAATAAAAAAATGAAAAAATACAGTATTAATGAAGAAAGTTGAATGACACCTTCCACACATTTTCTTCCCTCTTTGTTATTCCTGTTTCTTCTTCATTTCTAATATCTCAAGATATCTATAGTTCCTCTTTTCTAAGGTTAACCACTTTCTTGGGACTTTGACAAATATAATTTTCCACTTTTCTGAAATCCTGATCCTTCAATTGTTTCTTCTTCCTCCAACATCTTAAATATATCCCTCCTCAATTTTTCCTCCTCCCCTAGATCTTAGGCTACAATGGCCAGCGTGGGATGGGGGTGAGAAAGCAGAACAAGATAAAGCTATAATTCCTCCCTAATTATGAGCAAGGTTGCTACTGTTCTGATAACTCTTTAATTTCACAACCCAACTTCTTAAACTAATGGTTCACAAACCCTAAAGCACTATTTTTTTGCTGTTCAATTGTTTTAATCAATTTACTATGATTAGGTTTCTGTCCCATCAAGCTACTCAAAATGTATTTTTATATAACTATGTCTTTCTTACCAAATCAGTTCTCATTTTCTTTCACATGAGTTAATACTTTTAATACAGTTAACTCTACTAAAGCTCTTGCTTCTCTCGGCTTTTCAGAATTATACACTATTCTCGTTCTCTTCCGATCTCACTGGTTATTCTTTCTCCAGCTTTCTAAATGTATTCTCGAGATCCTACCATATCCCTCTGCTTTCTTTCTTTCTTTTTTTTAATGTTTTCATTGACTTTAGAGAGAGAGAGAAAAGCTTCAATAAGAGAGATGAATCAATCAGCTGCCTACTGGGGATCCAGCTGGCAACCTAAACATGGGTCCTGACTGGAAATAGAACCAGTGACCTCTCAGTGCATGGAACAATGCTCAACACACTAAGCCACACCGATTAAGACTCTCTGCTTTCATTTTTAAGAAAATTTTCTCCTAGAGATTCCAATTATTACTTTTGTGCCCGAGAGCCTTATTATGTGATGTTTTTTGAGCATTTAGAACCATAATCAACAACCTGTTTTCAAAAAATATTCTCAACCCAGCTCTACTTCATGGCTTTCCTAGTCCTGATAGTGATACAGTAACAAACATTTGTGGTGCCAACATACAGTGAGTCAGTCAGCCAGTTAATTAAGTTGACTATTAGCTTTCATATAGTAAGTGATTTGGTAAGCATAAGTGTGCTCACTCTTTCTACCGTGTTTCTTTGAAAATAAAACATTCTCCAAAAATAAGACCTACTTACAGGTTTCCTTCTGAGTGGAATATAAGGCATCCCCAGAATGAAAATTAATTTACCATAAACTGGTCGCTAGGGCCGCCCCGACTGGCATCTAGCAACCAGTGATGTTACGCAGAGTCCTGAAGTCACTGCTGTGTGGAGGCGGAGCTGAGGTTGGAGTGACTTTCGCAGATGCATGTAGAAGAACAGGAGGATTAGAGCAGACAGGACTCAGCAAAGGTGGTGAGTGCTGGTCTGTCTCTGGTGACACTACCTGATTCTCACAGCCGCCCTCAGGTTCTCAGTCAGTGGCACACCCTGCTCCAGCCTAGATCCAGGCCCCAGCAAGCCCAGTGACAGTCCCCAGGCAGGCCCCAGGGATAAATGTCTAATAATGGGGTAGGAGGGCTGGGACCGGTTTGGCTCAATGGATAGAGCGTCGGCTTGGGGACTGAAAGGTCCCGGGTTCGATTCCGCTCAAGGGCATGTACCTTG